TACTAGTTACTCATTACTACTCAAAAAAGCAATAACATTACTTTACTTATTACTCAGTGATAAAAGTAGCCAGTTACGTTACTCAATGTTCCTATATTACTTTACTTCACTACTATATTACTGTTTTGGTCAGGGGCATAGTGTAGACGGTGCCGCTGCACTAGGGTCCTTTACAGGAGCGGCCCCGCCAAGTTACGAGCTGGTCTTTGTCACTTACATGGAAAAAATGCATCAAATTTCATTCATTCATCACACACTTTCACCTTAATGTATTATATCTAAGATGATCAAGTGCTATATATACATTCATGTGAGCATTTCCCCTTTTGCAGTTGTGTCTGACACCACAGACGTATGTGTGTAAAACTGCTGACTGCAATCAGTAGTTTTACACACAGACGTCTATAGCAAGCAGTAGGCTTTATAAGGTACACGGTGAAATATAAAAGAAATAGATTCCACAGATTCAACAGAATGAATTTAGTCTTATTGTCTTTGGCCCACATATGCAGTGATGATTGCTGGGTAATATGTATGTGGCTGCCCAATCTTAAGTTTCTATATGCTCTTGTGACAAGACTCCAGAAATCAGGTGAAACACAAAATCTGACCAGTAGACTAGCAGAGCACACATGCAAGCTAGAAGTGATGCTATTCACACATAAAAGTAGTTTCAAGAGGAGACAGGAGAGAAAAGAACAGGAGGAGAGGGTCGCAAATGACATTGTTTTGGCTTGCCGCTGTTTTAAAGGCTGATATCAGTTCGGGGACAGGTCACCGCTGAGTAGGACTACCTGTTTAATTGTGTGCTTGTGCATGTGGGTGTTAAACTGCGCTGTAGCTGGCCTGTTTTCAGGACATGGCGTTCATCATGAGTAGGCCACTTTTCCTTCTTATTCACCACCATAATGTCTTTCCTCTCTGTCGAAGAGGAATGTGGTTGCCGTGATTCGGGAAATTAATGTACTGAAATTGCCCGTAAGTCTGCCTCATTTCAGCTCACTGCACACCTCCCCTGCACTCGGCCGTTTGTAGTGACGTTTCAGTAACAGCTGTTACAAGTGCTGTTAGTATTTTTACTGCTGCTGCTGGTATATTAACTGCTAGTGTTGGCGCTACCTGCAACACATGTAATAATACTACTGCTGTACTAATAATTTCATTATTCTTCATGTAGAATATAATATAATGAGTTGTGTTATAGACTCTGTAAAAGGCAGCAGGTTTGACAGTTTTCTTCTTCTTACTACTGTGAAAGGTGAAAGACCAAATATAACTGGAGGGTATTTATCTGAAACAGGGAACTAGACAACAAAATAAGTTCACACATTTCAGCACAAAAATAGACAAACACACACCCAGCTTAAACAGATCACACTATAGTGAGAAACGACACCAGCGTCAGACCTCAGCTCACTGGAATCAACAGGAGGAAGTTGCTGTGGTTTAGATGCAGAGCACAACCAAGTGTCTTTGGTCTGCTGAGTCCATCTTCTCTTTAATTTAAAATAATTTAAGCACTTAATAAACCTATAATTTACATTTAAACAAGCCGATCAATAATGTTTGAGTGAGACCCAACAGTAAAACTGTTAATCAATTGTATGTGAGATCTGTAAATCTGCACATTTATAATTCGTGTGTCATCATTCAAGTGTTTTTAAAGAAAGCAGTAAACTGGACGACCACAGAGCTGTTAGCTTCTGTTAGCAGATTCATCGCAGGGCACAAAACCAACATTATCATTAACCTAAACAGAGAACGCAACGCAGTCTGAAACCTTTATGGGCTAAAAAACATTGATTTTACATTTGATTTTTTTTGATAACATTTATATCATCTCCTCATTTCAGAAAAATGTCCTCACAAGGTCTAAAATTCAACTTGGTCCTCACACATAAGAATAAGAACGCACACTCACTGTCCCTGAAAACCAGAATCAATAAAACATTGTTACCTTTGCTGCGTCTGATTGGCTGATGTAGGTCTGTGATGTCATCATCCCCAGCTTCTTCTTCAGCGGCTGAATGAACCAAAATGAGCAGAAATTTAAATCAATGAAGATCATGTGATTCGATCAAAAGCTCCACAGCTCACTAAATGGACCCTGTGGTGAGATTGTTTTATTAACAGCAGCAATGTGATTTATGAGAATCCTGATGGACGTCTGACTTAAAGAAACAGTTTGTAACTTGTTATTATTTGTACGTCCAGAAGTGTTAATAGAAATGTGTCAACAGTAAAATGTGACTAAGTGAACTGCACACTGGAGTCTGTAACTAACCTTTAGGTTTCCTGTGGAGGCATCGTCTCACCAGTAGAACCAGAAGAACCAGAAGAACCAGAACCAGAGAAAGATAGAGCGGCCAACCACAATACAGAGGGAGAAGTAGAGGAGGAACCATAGAGAGGAGGTAAGGAAGAGGAGGAACCATGAGGAGGGTTGAGGAGACTTGTAGTGGTGGGTTTCACTAAATTGAACAATAATTATAATTAAAGATATAATTAAAAAATAAATGGATAATTTATTGAACAGCATGCTAAAAGAAAGACACAGCAGTAATTCATAATGTCAGTCTGGTTTAGAGTTAAAAAGATCATATCAAACGGTGGGTTGAACTCTGACAGATTTCACTCTTTTTCTTTGCAGATTGCAAAGTTAGAAATGTTGTCACATCATGAATCATCTCTGCTGTCCTGAAACCTGCTGAACTCAATGTAGAAAACAAAACAAGGTCAGTTTGAGAATTATCTTTGAGCTCCTCACCTGTGACAGAGATCCAGCTGGATGGAGACTCTCCACGACCTCTGATGTTACACTTGTAGAGGCCTTCATCAGACTTGTTAACATGGTGGATGGTCATGTGACCTGTAGGCTCAGTCCTGATGAGGGAGCCATCTTTATAGAAACCAGCTGGGAGGTTGGAGGGAGGGGTCTTGTTTTACAGTGCAGAGTGACATCATGTCCCTCCATCACAGGGAGGACAGGACTCTGCAGGATCACTGGTCCACCTCAACACAGAGACAAACTACAGCATTTCATCATTTACACACAGCTTCATCAACACTAACTCCACAGTCTGATCTTACCAGTGACAGTGATGTGATGGTGTTACTGGTTGCTCCCTCTCTGGACTCACACCAGTAAACTCCACTGTCCATGGGTATGTAGCTGATGTACAGGAAGAACCAGCTGATCTTCCCCAGCCAGCTCCACACTGAGTCCTGGTTCTGGTTGTGTTCCTCCTCAGCGTCCATCCAGCAGAGCTGTCGTCCTCCTCACAGCTCAGAGAGACAGACTCTCCTTCAAACAGCTGAGAGCTGCTGGGACTCACAGTCAGAGAGGCTGGAGGGGATACGTTACATTTTTAGCTAAATGACCAGATGTCTCACAGTGAAAGCTTGACACTTGTTTGGGAACGACAGGAAATGCTAAACTAATCAGCACAATGTGGTTACTAACACACTGGGCAACAGTACTTTCCCCCCATGGCTCGGACATCAACAGCACAGTTGGTTTGAAGTAATTAGCTGGGGGAAACAGACCAGCTTTTTTATTATTATTTCCAACCAGCCCAAAGAAGTTAGTTATTCAAGCATTTGTTAATCATCAAAAACAATAAAGGAAATATCATCAATTTATCATTTATTTCAATATATTGCAGGACAGAATTCAGGGAGGAATTTATAATGATTGATTGATGAATAAAAGTTTGCAACTGCATTATGAAGAAAGATTCACAAAACATTTTCTGTGACATTTTGTTAAACTGATTCATGCATGCCGTGTATTTTTTATATTTATTTAAGGTGCCCTTCCAGTCAAGAAAATGGGATGCAGCCATGTAGGCAGCCCTACATGCTGGAAAATGAGTTGACTCTAAAAGCGTGTTTTTATCACAGAGGTGTAATAGTTAGTAGTCTTTAATCTTTTTGATTATAAATGTATCACTGCTTTCTGTTCACTGGTGCTCCAACACATGAAGCTTTTTTGGCCCTCAGCACCTGACTTCCCACAGTTATGTCTCACACAGTTTTGGTGGTTAAGTTTTTGATTTTTTTCACTTTTGAAAATTTTTACGCATAATGAAAGTTGGATTCTTGGATTTTTACTTTAACATACATGAAGTGACAAAATTCATCCTTCAAAATTTACACTATGAACCAATTACAGTTTCAAGACTTTTGTGCATTTGAATTATGGATTGTGGATCAAATCTGATTGAACTTGTATCCTGGTCAACTTGTCCTTGTTTTTAGAGACTTTCTTTCTTTTTGGTAGCTTCAAGTCTGTTTTTGTGTAGTGGTTGTAAATAATCTTGGTAATTTGTTTAGTTAGTATTAAAACATTCTCTCTTTTTGTGTTTGTGTCCAAACACTTTACAGAACACACATTTTGTATTAGTTTTAACCAGAAAGCGTTATGCGAACAGCTTTTGACTGTCAGAGTTCACTCACCTCCGCTGGTCCTGCAGCTCAGCAGAGAGATCAGCACTGAAGAGAAACCAGAGATTTAACATAAAACCAGACCAGACAGAGAACTGGGAAACTTTGAGTTTTACTGCTCCAAAAATACAGCAATATCTTCCCTAAACCCTTAATTAATGTACGGTGTGTTTGTGGATATTAAATGTCTCAATAGTATTATACATAAGAACTTTTCTGAAACACTTTAGTGAAACAAAAATTTAAATAATCATGAATTCTACTTAATTAATAAAGTAACTATTAAAGACGTCTGTTTCAGATTGAATAAAGGAAGAAAAACACATTAAATATATCGCAGACTCTGTGATGTCCACTTTGGTGATGCTCTGTTCTGCTTTAGCTCTTTGAGACGTAGCACGTCATTTCATTTCAGTAGCCTCATAATGGTTGCTGCACCTGCTGCGGTGTCCATAGACTTTTTATTTATTGTCAATTTTTTTCCCTCTTTTCAGGTAAATTCTAAAATGATGCAAAAACTATTCAAATTGCTGAACAATGAATAACTGTTTGATCACCACATTAGTGAGTTTCTAGTTTTTGCTACTTTCCCCTGTGGTGATCAATCAGTTCTAACGGGTGAATAATAACAGTTTACAGTTATTTCAGTTTTGGCAGATTGTACTTACAGAGCAGAAAAGATGTCTGTTCCATTGCACCACCACTCAGTCCGTCCAGTTAAACTCTCTTCCTTCCTCTTTGAAGGGGAGGGTAGTGACGGTTTCTCTCCTTCATTTATAAAATTGGTCATGTGGTTTGTCTTCTTCACACTAGAGCTTATCAGGAGACACGGGGCCCTACACAGAGAGTTTAATCACATGCAGGAAGTGACAGCGCTGCAGGCTTAACATGAAGGTGGGCTGATCTGAGATCACTAAGAGACAGATTCATTAGAGAGAAGGATGTAAAGTTCCTCAATGGAGATTATCTGTAAATATCTGTGTTATGAAGATTTCTCATTTTAAAATGGACAAAAACATTTTGTAGAAGTTTAGATCAAACTTCTGTTCTTGGAGTTGCAGAGTCTTTGAACAAGTGATCAAAACTGTGGTTCATATCTGAAGTTTAATGGTCACTGAGAGTCCTGTTTTTTGTTTTAACCAGTTTTAAATTGAAGTGATAAAGATCCAGAACAGTGAAACTGTTATTTTTTATTAAATGCTTGAATCAGTCCAAAGGCCCTTTTCTCATATCGGGGTCCCATCTCTAAAGATGAACATGCTGGACGTTACTGGATTTTAAGAATAGGGACGTTCACTCTGTCATCCTGCTGGCTGCAGAGTAACTCTGCTGACATCTGGTGTTTTAAAAGAAACTCACACAGTTTGTGAATCAACATGACTTCCTGGAAATAGGCATTATTTACTCAGTCACATGTTACATTTTTGTAACTGGTGTATTGTATATTCTTTGAATGTGTTATTTAATGTGTTTTCAGTTGAAGGGTAGGGAATTTTGTTCAGGCATGAAAAAATGCAAAGTAAATTACCGTGTCATTCTTACATATTCTTATTTTCTAAACATGAGAAGCTGGGTGGTGATGGCGCAGTGGATAAGACACATGCCTCTGGTGTGAGAGATCTTGGTTAAGTTCCCCACTGTGACATGTCCACCAATGTGTCCTTGACACTTAACCCCTAGTTGGAGCACCCTAAATTTCGTTGTACCTTCACAGTGCAATGACAATAAAGACTATTCTATTCTATTCCTAGTTGCTCCACAGGCGTGCGACCTCTGACATCCTTAGTAGTTTTAAGTCGCTTTGGATAAAAGTAAAATGAATAAATGAGAAGCTTCACACTGACTAAAGCGTGCTCAGATATACACTGCTCAAAAAAATAAAGGGAACACTTAAACAACACAATGTAACTCCAAGTCAGTCACACTCCTGTGAAATTAGGAAGCAACACTGATTGACAATCAATTTCACATGCTGTTGTCCAAATGGAAAAGACAACAGGTGGAAATTATAGGCAATTAGCAAGACACCCCCAATAAAGCAGTGGTTCTGCAGGTGGTGACCACAGACCACTTCTCAGTTCCTAGTCTTCCTGGCTGATGTTTTGGTCACTTTTGAATGTCTCGCTCCATCCACCACGCCACGTGCACCACAGACTGTCCAGGAGTTGGCGGATGGTTTAGTCCAGGTCTGGGAGGAAATCCCTCAGGAGACCATCCGCCACCTCATCAGGATCATGCCCAGGCGTTGTAGGGAGGTCATACGTGGAGGCCACACACACTACTGAGCCTCATTTTGACTTGTTTCAAGGACATTACATCAAAGTTGGATCGGCCTGTAGTGTTTTTCCACTTTGATTTTGAGTGTGACTCCAAATCCAGACCTCATGGGTTGATAAATTTGATTTTCATTGATAATTTTTGTGTGATTTTGTTGTCAGCACATTCAACTATGTAAAGAAAGGAGTATTTAATGAGATTATTTCATTCATTCAGATCTAGGATGTGTTATTCTAGTGTTCTCTTTATTTTTTTGAGCAGTGTGTTTGATCAGGGAACATACCAGTAAAGCTACTGGCACTCTGCTCAGTGCCCAACTAACACCAACATTGTTGGCAGTAGCTGCTTTCAGTCTTCAGAAAGTTCAGAAAAACAACTGTCAGTTCCACACTGACCAGACAGAAACTGACCAGAAAGGGTTTTTTTGCCTTTTATTTTATTATTATACTCACAAGGTCGAGGCTGCAATCCCTTTTTGTCGAATGGAAACCTACTTGTTACTGGGTGTATCGGCCTTTTAAAGGTATTCAATAGGTTAAAAGGACTGGGTGAGCTATGATCAGCCATAACTCAAATATAATGCTAATAAATGAAATCAAGTCTTTTGGTAAGTGCAAAACTGAATTGGCTATATGGACTGTACTGGCCATTTAAATGTTGGTGGTAATAAGGACTGATTGAGCTATACTCTATATACTATACTATACTTGGCAAGTGCAATACTACAAACAACATATTTTAACTGGTAAAAGGTGGGTTGGTTGGCAAAGAGCAAGCAAGATAATTGCAAGAGAGACACTTCCTTTATTTTATTTATAGCCTAACCAGCTGTGAATCATGTTAATTAAAGACTACAGTCTGTTTTCCAAATATAAACAAGGATATTAAACATATAGGCCTGCCAAACACAAATTTCATCTGCAACAACAGACTAATTTTATTGCTTATAATAACATTTGTCAGGCCTGATGAACTGCAAACAATTTAACTGGGATTATTCTGTTAGAGGAAACATTAAGTTTCACAAAGACATACCTTTGCTACCACGGAAATAAAGGTGACGCTTATTTGCACATATTATTGGCCTGCTACCAACTGAAAATGACTGACGGAGCACACTGATCCAACGGTCGGTGTTGGTTGAAGTCGGTCGCCGTTTGTCGGGGCAGTGTGCAAGCAGCTTTAGAATAAAAAGTAAAAGTACCTCATTGCTGTGAAAGGCTTCTTTCAGCATTTGATGTTGAGTTTGAAGTCCAGTGATGTCTGATATGTTTCACTTTATCTCATCATGAATGTGAATTCGGTGGAGTAAAGTAAGCCTATGAAGTCCCTCATAAGTGTTAAAGTATCCATGTATATGTTGTTTGTTGTCTTTTTATCAAAACTAGATACCATGTTAGGCAGAGGTGGAAGCAACCATTTAAATTTACTCTTATTCCTGTAACAAAGTCTGAGTCAGTTACTTTTCAAATAAGTTTAAATTAACAGTAATCAGTAATTTTACTTTAACTACCTTTTTTATTTTAGTAGAAGTATTGTACTTCCAGAGTAAAAACAAAAGTTAGATGAAAAAGTCCTGATAAACCAGTTCACAAAAAGTGACATTGACGAGCTACTTTCTGCTCACGGCTGCATGATCTTCTCCCTCGTCTGCCAACAGAGAGAGAACGGGAACAGGTGAGCGTCACATTGCACCCAGAGAACCTGATACAGAGAGGGCAGAGAGTACCGGCAGTTTGAAGCCGTACGCTAGAAAAAAGTCCCACTTCAAGCTGCTCTGAACAGTTTCATAGTATGAACCTAGACTGTTATGTGAGACCGTTTGGATGTGTAGAAGAACACAGAACATGAATTAACATCTGATCAAGTTAGCAAGTTATGCTGCTACATGCGTAAATATGCACAGGGAGACACTTCACCTGTTTCACCCAGCCGCTATTCAGTGTTCATTTTTATGATCCTGCCTGCCCATCAACACATCCCATTCAACAATAACAACATCAGTTGACCTAATTAGAAATGTCCCGATTCGATATTAATGAACAAAAGACCACCGTAGAGTCCTGCTCCCGCCATGGGGTTGGATAGTCCAGCTGCATGCCACTCCTCTTTTCAACATCATGTCTGGCGAAAAGACTTCCGCAAAGAATGCATCGCTGTATCCTCGCTTATAGCTCCTCCAGCACGCCTCCTCACTCCTCATTTTTCTACATTTTAAGCATTGAGCTGTTGATCAATTTGTGGGTCACAGGCAGGAGGATGGAGGAGACGAGGAGGCACAAAATGGGAGAAAGGTGACTTCTAAATTTACCTTTACATATAGTGAGTTGAGCACAGCCTTTCTGCTGTTTTTTGTCTGTTCCTTTACAGGAACAAGTGTTAATTTAGCTCAAAATGTTTTTGAGAACTTTCTGTGTAATAGTTCACAGAATGTCATTTAGGCTGTGAGAAGAAAAACAACAAAGTCACTGATGGATGTAACTCACTATCCAGAGGAGAATTTCACAAAACAACTGCGTTAGCGTTTTTCTTTGTGTGTTTGCCGCCCGGATGAAGTGACTGAGGGGCAGTAAAAAAACGCAAGGGGGTCAAATCTTTTTATATATTAAAATAGTAGGTTATCATCCTGATGTACCAATTTATATAGTCGTACGTCACCACCCCGTTTTAACAACTAAGCAACTTTTACAACTTTGAGCACAAAATTAAGCTATTTGTCAAAAAATATTTGGCAAACTATGTGGGTAATCAACATTGTAAGGAAATGACTCAAAAATATGATATATCATAGAAATGTCAAAATACACTGGAGGGGGGCTTTCAATATTAAGAAGGACACTGTTAGGCATTTTAAATACAAACAAGAATAACATAAACAGATTAAATGTTTACCGTTGTGTTTCTTACATCACCACCCGAGTCAACTTACACTGATGTCGTTCCACGTTTGTACAAAATAGCTTCTGGTATTGATAGAAAACACACGGGAGTTGCTGATCACAACAAAAATGATTTCTGTCTGTAACGTCATCTTTTAAAATGAAGTTTATCTAAAAAGTGTTTCATTCGTCCGGGCTCTCCCCTATAGTCGCCGTTGCAATGCCAGTCCATGAATTTGGAGGGCGGAGCTTCTGAGGGAGTGAAGGGAGTTTGTTTGGCGGGTTCAAATATCAACAATCTTTCAGCTGAGCTCCTTTCTATCCCCTTAGATGTGTTAACAGTCTGGTAACGTGTTGTGAATTTATTTCCGCACTAATGTCAGTGTATTGTCTGTGGAGATCAACATGCCATGATTCATAACCATTTTGGGAAAACTACTCCGTAAAGTGAATTTGCTGATTTATACAAAAAATGTCAACTTGCTAATAGAAATGTAAGCGGCCCTCCTGAGCCTTCACCTGACTGGTTTAGAGATCCTCACGTTTAGTCCGTCTGAACTTCCTATTACCCACATCTCTTTGAAAGGAATAGTTCAATTGTTCAATGTTTTAGAAACACTCTGTAGTCAAGTCGTGGTTAGCTTAGCTTAGCATAACGACTGGAAGCAGGGGGAAACAGGTAGCCTGTCTCTGTCCAAAGAGCATCTGCACCTCTCGTCCTTTGTGGTCTGATGACTATTTGTCCATAACTGACGTCTCCTGCTCCTCTCACTGCTGAGTAGACTGCAGCTGAATTACACTCTGGAAAACAAAACACATACAAATTGCATTACTTCATGTTGGGGAGACCGGAGATGTTTGAGACACAGGTCAGTTGTAACACGTCAAATTCTCCAATAAGGAATCACCTGATTCAATCTGCACGTGCTCAGTTTAGTCCTTATTACACATGGGGAAAAGTGTCACCCTGTGGCAGCACATACAAGTTTAGAAAGAAAAATAATTTTAAGGTGAGAAAGATTTTTTTTGTTGTTATTTTTGTTACAGCATTGGCTGCTTTGTTCCTAAATCATGTTTACTGTGTGTCTGTGTAGATATCTTTCTTGCAAGTTGTTACTGCTAATGTTTTAGCCATACGTAAAATGTTTAGTTGTATTTATCTGTTTGTTTAGTTGAAATTCAGTTTGTGTGTGACACACAGTAAGGCTTAATTATTCTAATTACTTATAATTATAATGTATTAATTATTATGTTCAGATGTTAGTTTAAGACCTGAAGGCTTCTCTGTGAGCCAATGAGGCCTCCAGAAGAGCCACAAGTCTGTCACCAAGATAACACAAACACACACACTGGTGCACAAGTTGTTAACTTTTATTATTATGTTCATTACTATGTCACTATTATTACTGACAGTAACTACGATACTTGGATCACCTCTACACACACACACACACACAAACACACACACACACACACACACACACAAACTAGTTGTTTTTAAATAAGGGTTAAAACTACAGCTGTTACAAGTGCTGTTAGTATAATGTTTTATACTAGTACTACTAGTACTGCAACACGTGTAATAATACTACTGCTGTAGAATGATTTCATTACTTTTCATGTAGAATTATAATAAGTTGTTTTATAGACTCTGTAAAAGGCAGCAGGTTTGATAGTTTTCTTGTTCTTACTACTGTGAAAGGTGAAAGATCAAATATAACTGGAGGGTCTTTATCTGAAACAGGGATCTAGATGACCACAAAATAAGTTCACACATTTCAGCACAAAAATAGACAAACACATCCCCATCAGCTAAAGCAGATCACACTATAGTGAGAAACCACACCAGCGTCAGACCTCAGTTCACTGGAGTCAACAGGAGGAAGTTGCTGCTGTGGTTTAGATGCAGGTGCACAACCAAGTGTCTTTGGTCTGCTGAGTCCATCTTTTACTTTACTTTATTCACTTAAGCACTTAATTTACCTTTTATTTACAATAAAACAAACAGATCAACTATGTTTAAGACCCAACAGTAGAACTGTCTCTACATGTTGATGTATTGGGTGTGAGCAGAATGTACAGAGATCTGTAAATCCGTACATTTATAATTTATATGTCATCCTTCAAGTGTTAAAAGAAAACAGTAAACTGGACGACCACAGAGCACAAAACCAACACTGTCATTAACCTAAAGAGACCACAATGAGTCTGAAACTTTATGGCTAAAAACATTGATTTTAGATTTCATTTATTTGATAACATTTATATCATCTCCTCATTTCAGAAAAATGTCCTCACAAGGTCTAAAATTCAACTTGGTCCTCACACATAAGAACAAGAACGCACACTCACTGTCCCTGAAAACCAGAGTTAATAAAACATTGTTACCTCTGGTGCGTCTGATTGGCTGCTGTAAGTGACGTTGTATTTTGACATCACTGTATGTGATGTGACTGTGGAACATTTTCACCTTACTGATAAAATAATTAATTTAATTTGGTTTTAAAGTTATAAACTCCTGGACTTTAACAGCTTTCTGCACATCTCTCACACATATCTGAATGCATGTTGAGAATAACATCATAATGTTATGAGACTAACGTTATCATTTAGAATTCATAAAATTGTTTATAAAATCTACATGCGCTGTACTCTTTGCTCTGCTGACAGTCTAACAGAAGAACCGTCTGGGACTGCACTGGATAAGACAAGCAAACTGAAAACACTTGTTCAGGCAGAAATCTGTTAAAGTGCAGCTCACAGCTGCTTCAGAGGAAAGCATCCTTAAGAAGAGAAACAGTCCAAGCAGAGCAAAGGTGTCTCTGAGCGAGGGGGATAGAGACAGCAGCGACTCAGAGCTGAATAACTTTCAGCTGTGACAGAAGAAGTTTTCTCACCTTGGTTTGTTGTGCAGCTCAGCAGTGAGGTCAGAACTAAAGAGAAATCACACTCAGGTTGGTTTGAGGTTTTACATGAAACAAGACATCTGGACTTTCTTCAACACAGAACAACCTGCTTATAGTGCACAGAAAAACAGCCACATGGGGATCTTAGATATGGAAATAACACATTAAGTGTTTTTAGATCAATTTCCACAAACAGAACAGTTGTGAGTAAACGCTGAGGAGCTGTTCAAGTGCAGGAATGACATGCAGGAACCAAAGGGTTAAACAAACACTACAAAGTCTCTGCAGCTACTTTGATTGCAAAGTGTTTCAAACTTGCTGTTTGTTTGGTATTCAGTCAAGGCAAACATGACAAACAGTCATCACTTTAAGGTTTGAAAATAAGAGTCACAAAGGTGCTGCCTAAAGATACATCAAATTTAATAAACTGAATATTTAACTGAAGTCATGTGAAGGACAGGTTGGACATTTTATGTCATTTACTGTACAATAATATGAGGTAGAAATAATATATTCTTTATCAACCAGTCAACAGACAGTTATAACCATAGTTTGCAGGGAGAACCTGCACAGACCCCAGCGCTAGTTTCAAACTGAGCTTGCATGATGTAGCTGGTAGTGAACAGCACTGGGTTTCACCAGCTGTGTCCACCAAAGTGTTTTTTGCCAGCTGAAAATGTCCAGTAGGGAGCGCTAGCGGACGTTTTTGAGGCGCAGCGTTTTTTCTGACTGCTTTGGTTGCTATGAGACATTTGTTGCAAGTAGTTCTACCTAACTTTACTGGATGTAAAAATATCAACACAGAGTAGAGTACTTGCTCTGTATGGAGTGGCTGAAGCAGGTAGAGAGAGAGGACGGACTCGCCGTATGTGTGTTCATGAGATGTTTTGAGCGAGGTAACATCTCGGCGAGTACCACGAGCTGAGGTTGGATGAAGGTCCAGGATAGTAACCATTACAACTGAACTTACAATGGCAGCCAATGGTTTCTGTCACTCTTGTCCTTTGGAAGGACACAGAGACAAATCTATAACTCTGAGGGACTTAAAAAGCCCATGTGAGGAGCTTACCTACATACAAACATACAAAAGTCCAATAAATAATCATGTCCACATTACGACTTCTCCATCTAATGCCTAGCCTTAGTTCCTCAAGTTAGGAGCCCTCACTGCTCTGGGGACAAAGGAGTTCTTAAAGATGTTTTTGTTTGCTGATATGACCCTATATCTCCTCCCTGACAATTCAAACTCATCATGTAAAGGATGACAGGAGTCATTGATAATGGCAACAGCTTTCTTTCCTAAACGTTCTTCATAAATGCTGTTCAGGTTTTCTAATAATCTTTGAGGCCGTGTTAACAATCCTCTGCAATTTGTTCTTTCTCTGCATGTTCAGAGTACTTTCCGCTAAGCTTTTGTACACTGTCTCAAGGATATTTTTGCTCATTCCGAAGTTGTTCAGTTTGCGCAGGAGGACAAAAGGTAAAGAGAAAAATCTAAGAAGATTTTCCGAGCCTGCTACACTGTGGAGTCACCCACTCTAGCTCACGCAATACACACCCATTATAAACTCAGAAAAGAGTTCAAAAAAGCATAAAACTTCGACAGCAACCGTGAACAAACCATAAAACATATCAAAAAGCTGAATACATCATTAATAGATTAACTTCTTGTGACCAATTTACAGTTTAAATCAAGTCTGTAGCTGAAAGTATGCTGAACTGGTGAGCTTTCAAAGTGGAGTAGGTATGAGGAGGATTTTGACAGTCTCTCCATTCACTTAGAAGGGGAAAGTTTTCCTGGAAAACCTGAAATATTTTGGAAAGTATTCAAGGTGTCAATGACAAAAGTAATAGCACCCATTCCTCACTGAGCCGGACAACTTGGAGTTTGAAATGGAGTTTCTATGTCAAAAGCTGTGGGACTAGTTAGCGGCCAAGAAACGTGACGGAAGAATAATAATAAAGGTTAACAACAACAGTGTGTTATTCACAATTACAGCATAGTTTAGGTGCAATTAACTTATTTGTAGTTTTAATCTTATTTGATGCAAAATACGACTTATTACATATCAGCTTATTATGTATTGCATCACAATTTTCATTTTCATTGAAAAACTATTAAATTATGATGATGTGACATTTGTTGGGGTCTGAACCAGGCAAACATGTTTTCTTCTGGAGAGCAAGATATGTAAGCTGGGTGTCTCTGAAGCACTACAGTACTTCATTATACAGTAATGTTGTTTTGTTGCACATTTTACTCTCATCAAAAAATGACACCTTCTGCAATTTGCATTTGACCATTTTGGGATTTCCATAATTTTTTGAATAATTGTGCTTCCCTAGTAAACATCTTTTTGTTTAATACATTACATATTGTAAGAATAACTACACATGGTTAACAATTGTAATTGAACACCTGCTGTAAT